AAAACCTCCCTCCACCCCCGTCCGGAGGCAGGGGGAGGAGGAGGGCAAGGTTTCCGTCGGGAGCTTTCTGTGTGACGAATACCATGAATACGTGATCACGCCTTGGAAGGCTTGTACCTGGCGTTTGGCTCTTCAGGTGCAGAGTCAGAACGTGCCTGGCCGCTCTGCTTTGGCCAGTTTGAAAACATCGGCAAGTTTTACATAACCCCATTTGGTTCGGCGTGTGGTCTTGGCGCGCGCTGGTTGTTCTTCCCGAGCACTCGTCCTCCCTTTCGCCTTGGCCCTCCTCATTTCAAGAGCCAGAATTCATTAGGCTCCAATGTCAGAAACATGCGTTTGGTTCGCTTTGGAAATGGATGCATCCAGTGCCACGCCACACAGACTTTCATTGAAGGCATACGCGTGTATGCAATCCGCAAGACAGGATCTGTTTTGATCTCGCTAGTGGGAAAGATCTAATGTGAACCTTCCGCTCTCCCATCGAGACTTCCAATCCGAAACGACCTTTCGCATTCTCTCCGCTGCCTGATGCACCTCGTCCTCACACCCCTCCTTGTCGCTCCTCTTCCTCCTCGTCCTGTTTTTCCCCAAGATTTTTCTAAACACAGCATGCTGTGGTGGAGCCCTCAATCGCCGACGGCGACGACGGCGACGACGGCGACGGAGGCGACGGCGACACTGGCGGCCTGCGGCGACCACGACGGTGACGACGACGGTGGCGACGACGGCGACAACGGCGAAGACGGCGGCGGCGGCGACGGCGACAGCGGCGGACGGCGGCGACCACGACGGCGGCGACGACGATGTCGACGACGGCGACGCTGTCGGACGGCGGCGACGGCGGACACGACGGCGAGTTTGTCTTGTCTGGGTGTACCTCGGGGATGTTTCACGCTTTGGCCTTTCGCTTCCAAGCAGTGGCCCTGCGCGCGGACTGGAGTAGTTGAATTTGATATGGCTGGCGCGCGTTCCCTGGTGCGCTTGGCACGCACCTGCATTGAACTCGTCTGAGGTCCCAGACCTCAGGAGTCGCAATTTGTCATTACAATGTCCCTCGCAGGCCTGGACCTTTCTGCCCGGGGCCGGATTTTCATCCTGAGCCGCTCGAAGAGGGCCCAAAGCCTCCCGCTGTGATTCAAATCCACGACGCGAGGATGTCAGGAGCACACCTGCGTGGAACTCGTGCGAGGTCGTCCCAGCATATGGGGCGCTCCAGAATGCGTCGCCTTCGAGGATCGATGGAGTTGGCATCTCTTCCCCGGCGGAAGGCGGCGGAAGGGCGGCGGAAGCCGGCGGCAGTGGAAACGAGGACGGCCCCGCGGGCGGACTGCCGGCGGACGGCCAGCAGAAGCCGGCAGAAGCGACAGTTGCACCCCCAAGATCACCACCCACCAAACCACCCCAACCCAACCCGAAGGCTCAAATTTACCCTCGATTTCCAGTTGGGGGGGGTCGGGAACCATCGAAAAAACACGTATGGAACCCTTGCCCCCCCCCCAACCCGAAATTCGGGTCTTCGGGTTGGGTTGGGGTGGTCTGGTAGGTAGTCACAAGAGGTGGCAACTTTTTGGATGCAGGATTTCTGGAGCCGGCCGTGGGCGGCGCCGCTCCCGGGCCCAGGGGGGGTCCCCGAGGCCGAGCTCGGCCAAAGACTTCTGGCGTGGCGCCTCCGTTTGACGCGAGAACCGCGACGCGAGGACCTCGACGCATCTCGACCGCGACACGACGCGGCTCCGTCCAGGCCCACCCGCGACGAGCTCCTCCGAGGCCGTCGCAGCGGCGTGCGCTGGCGGCGGCGGCGGCGCGGCCGGAGGTGGGGGGCGCGGCCGGCGAGGGCCGCGCGGGCGCGCAGCTTTACTTGGTGGACCTCGCTGGCAGCGAGCGCGCCAGGACGCCGCCGCCTGCCGTCCGCCGTTCGCCGCCGCCGGTCTCCGCCGCCCTCTCCGCTGTCGGGGCTCACGAGACGGGGGTCAACGCAAACGGGGGTCAGCCAGGGCGCCCGATCCTGCAGGATCCTGCAGGGCCAGGGTCACATTGGCCCGGGTTTAAGTGCGGGATCCGGCAGGATTTTGCAGGATTCTTCGCATTGACCCGGGTTTGGGTGCAGGATCGTGCAGGATTCTGCAAGGCTTGACTGACCCGGGTCTGGATTGACCCGGGTCAGGAGATCCACAGCGCTGCCGCCGTCCACCGTCGCGCTCACCCTTGGGTTCCTGGCATCGATTTTTCTTACGCCGGGCGGTTTTGCTCGGTTTCGGGCCACAGGACCATTCCAGATCGATCTGGCTCGAAAGATGCCACAGATGGGTCCCGCTCGAAAGTTGTGATTTTCTGCAATGCTGCCACTCTTGCGGCATAAGCGGCGTACACATAAACTTTCGGAGGTCTGCGCAGATTTCTCGGATCGGCGCTGGGCGCGGACTTCCGAATGGTTACGGTTCGATCATTTTTGTTCTTCTATCGCTGCCGCCGCCGTCCACCGTCGCGCTCACTGTCCAAC